TTTGTTCTGGCCTAGGCCAGAACCCGCGGTCACCCCTTCTCCTCTGAGGCGGGGCTTGGCGTTCTCACGTCTGTTCTGCCCAAATCAGGACGTACTTTGTGCCATTAGGATAAACCTTATATCCAATCACTGAACCACCTTTCATTTGTTCTTAGAGAGAGATACCCATCTCTCGTTATGAAAGGCGCCACCCTTCCGCCTAAAAGCCAACACACCATTGCTCGCCATCTGAATGGAAACAGCTGCAGCAGTGTGAAGCCTCGATGGGAATCGCATGCACCGACTGACCATGATCGAGAAGCGCAATGACTGTATGATCTTACACACACCCCAATTAAGGGTCGGCCAACTTATAATATGATAAGTGCGAGGCGACCGTCTTGAAAGTCTCGAAATCCCTTTTCTCCAGATGAACGCTCGAGTTTTGCACTGCAAAGGATAACTCGCTCTTTTTGGGGAATTGGCTGGACAAAAGTATCATATCTATTATAATATAGCCCTGACACTACTCCATCGGACTATCCCCTTTGCGTTGCCTTGAAGAAGCAGCAGCGGCGACAGAAAAAGTTAATGAATACAACCACCCCAAAAACCGACCTTGACCAATTCTTTGAGTCCTAGCTTCATTTATTCTGTTGGGAAAGCACTCGAAGGTTTCCTAGTGAATGGATGTACAGGGGAAGGGCAAAAAAAGACATTTTGCCTATGTCGAACTTCGGCCCTTTTTCTTCGCAGAGATCTATAAGTAAACGCAGGCCCTCCTTCACTGCCCTCACCGTCTTCAGAATATGACGTCATCTGTCACCGTCGTCAGGCTCAAGGAGGTCTACCGTAAGAGCTTCAGCCTGAAGCTCTTACGCAATTTCGTGAATCGATTTAATGTTGGATAGTTTTCTAGAGGCATTAGCTACCACTATGCAAATCCCCTCGAAACTAGCTTTCCAGTAAAGGTCGTTATGGTACACGATCCTTCGAAGACCCCATTGAGCTCGACCAGTGCACCATGTTTCCAGGGCAAATTCTTCTGATGCCGTCCACGTAGGCCACTATGAAGATTTTCTTATAGAATGAAATGCGCTCTTTAATAATAAGTTGGGACCATTCGGTCTGAATTGAGCAAAGTGTGCTTAAATCCATCTGGAAGTGGAGACAAAATGTCTTTTTTATTGCCCCCCCCCCTGTATATCAGAGAGTATGTTACTGGTTATATTTTCGATCAGTTGGTTTTTGAGAAAGGTAAAACTTTGAAAGAAAGTGTCGAAAGTCGGACAGAATTTGTGGGACAACCCAATGTATGAATCGCACTTACACTCGATTTTTTAATTAGAGAAACTGTTCATTTTCTTTAGAGAACCCGAATCAAACAAAGGAGTCGTCCATCATGTACTACCACAATGAATCTCCCAACACTCAGGCGACGACCAGAGAGTATCGCAAAGTGGAGCGCAGGGAGTTTCGACCAGCCGATATGGAAGCGCGAATGCGGTTTCTAGAAGAATGATAGGACGCGCCACTTCGTCTCAAGAACTCTCTTCTGATGATTTGACTCAGCTCTTACTCATGTTTTCTCCTCACAGAACAAATCATGCTTTATTCCGATGTAAAGACTAATTTTCATCAACACACATTGTGACATAGTGAAAGAATCTCTGAGCAATCCACTTTGTTGCCTCGAATTTGACAGCCCGAAACGTTGAGCTGCTGGGCAGCCTCTCACTGTATTTGGCTATTGTTATACTGTTAGAAACTTCTTTGCACAAAACATTTGGCAATACATTTAAAAAACATGCTAATAAATATGTAAATAATTCATAACCAACAAAGATCGTTGAAATACTGACTATGAGAACCCGTCTGGTAATACAATTGAGCGGAGCACCGCAAGAAGGTGGAGAAAAAGAAAAGCCGTGGCACGAGATTATAGCCGGTCTCTACTGCCGTCTTACGTAAGCATTCCTGGAGATGTTCGGCCGTTCAGCGCCGAATTTGCAGCGCAGAATCCGACGATAGGTGTGGCGGAACCTGAAATGGAAGTGAGTTTTCTTGGTCCCCAATGAGGGCAACGACGGCTGTGGCGACCGGAAATCCCAACAAACCTCGCATTGCAGAGGGCATAGCAGAGCGGATTGATGGAGGAGTTAATGTAGCATAGAAAGTAGCTCGCTGTGAATAAGTAATCCGGCACACTATGAGGAAAAAACGCCTCGTAGCACACAATCACTAAAAATGAACAGCTGAAAGTGGAAGAGCTGAAAGTCGGGATGTGTTCTGCCACTTATGAGTAAATATATCTCATGTTGGACGGACAACTGACAGGGGAGTTCCCTATCGGCACCCCCTCCCCATTTCCCTTATGCCTTGCATAACATCGCCTAGCATATAAACTACCCCCTTGGGAACTTCTGCCCAGAAGGAGAGGTGCTAAATGAGAATCACTTCTCTTCTTCAAAATGATTAATGCGAGAAAAAGGGAGAGGCTAAACAATAAAGACAAGGCGCACGAAAACGGATGTATCGATACCCGAAAGTGAAAAATGCTCAAAAATGGTCGTACCATTGTAAGGCGTCCAGGTGATGATGAATGCGGCCAAAATGGCCGATAGAGTCTTCGCCGCTTTACTCTCCTGTTTCCTTTCATTCTTTTTTCTTTCCTTTTCGCTTTTCCTGTCCTTTCCAGTACTGATCTGCGTCCCAACTCTCGAGAAGCGACCATTTTTTGCAGGCGATGTAGCGTCTGAAAGAAGGCTACGTTAAAATGCACCACGCTGTATTGCATTGAAGACCTTCTGACCTTTAAGACTTGTCTGACGGTTGATGTCTTCTGCCAAGTCGACGTTGCAATCGCTTCGAGATCGACAGCGAGACTCTCGACGAGAAACCGCTTCTCTGCAAAGTATGTCTTTTGAAGGTGCGCATGGGCCCAAACCAAATGAACAAAACGTGATCCCGCACTAGTGCCAGTTGTTTGATCAAAGCAGCAACCCCAGATGAGGTCGTAAAGAACAATCTATTCTGCAGGCCGGATAGGTAACCGTTACTGTGAAGCTGTGCCGTTGTAGCGGCTCAAAAATGCGCGACAATAGCGCTAGGACCTTCAAAAAGGGCTAATGAGGGCTTCTGTGGGGGTAATGGACGAGATATCACGCGCAACCTCACGCAACGTTATTGGGGGCTAATTCATTCGGATACGCGCTAGTTACTGAAATCATGTACCAGTCCAGGTAGCTCGTCCGAAATGTTCCTCCACCATTTCAAGAGCTGGTGTAGACCGCTTTTACAATATCTCAAGTTCAGAAAAGGGTATACATTCCGTTCCAAATATAGAGGGAGTGACCCTCCCCTCTCCCTTGTACAATAATCCTCTTTCTTGAACAGAGGGAACAAAAACGACAACTTTGATATGTTCCCATGGTAAATCACGCTTCAAGAAAGATTTCCAATGAATTTTCTAAAAACATCACTCATTACCTTAGGCAAGGCAATGAGATGGCCGAGGCGGGGCCTAATTTTAAACCTCACTGGTGAAAGTGCGCAAGGCGATCAAACTTTTAGACGAACTAGTGGATGGATTGCCTCCCAACGTTTTTACACCGATGCCATCTTCAAACCAGATCTGCCCCTACTCTCTCTGCCTCCTTGAAACCAAGCGGAATAGACTAAATAGAGGACCAGAGCAGTACTCAATTCGGTCGCGCGCTTGAGTGGGACTCAGTGCAATCCATTTTTCATGTGAATAACCTTGAATGGGATAGTTCACCGCGTGTTTTCATTCATTGCCTAGGACACCCAACAACAAGTAAATCCCCCTGAGAACGAGACCTATAGAAGATCATAGCAGCCACTGAATCAGGTTAGACGTGATTTTAATCGACAGAACTGAACTTACTGTGTGACTGTGTCGCAGTTGCTGAGACGAACGCTCGGTCGAGCGCCCTCGTCCTTCAGCTCGATTAGTACCTGGAACGAAAAATCTTTTGAAGATCTCTTATATCTTTGAATTAATGTTTTATTTATTTCGGAGTTCACAGAGACTCGGATTCAACAGTCACTTCGAGACAGATCCACTACAGCGCGAAATCTCAAGTGAAAACCCCGTGATAGATCGACTGACCCGGTGCTTCGCCTAGGGACCACTAATTGGGTCTCTGCAGGTCGCAAATCGCCATTCAGAATGAAGGAAGGAATGCCTTTCGACTACTGTATCATCACGAATCGACGAATTTTGACGGGAAAGGAGCGCCCTGTTGAAGGCCTAGTTCGTGCGTAGAAACTATGCAGCTTTTTCTCCAATAATCACACACTGAGGGAAGTTGTCATAGTGAGCTAATAAAGCTTTTTCTAGTGCACATTTTCCATCAGTACACAGTATAGCTCAAAAGTTTATTTCCAGTTTGCACGTAACAGTGGCTAGACCAGAAATTTAAGGTCTGCATAATCTTTATCAGGAACAAAATTAGCGAAATTCGATAAGA